TCTTTCATGCAGTTCAAGAGACTGCCACTTGAAAGAATTTTCCAGAGCAGGCTTAAGTTCTCGCTGATTAGTTGTTGGTGAAGTTGTAAATGAGCTGTCAAAGGTGGAGCAAAAAGATGAGGGAAGTTACAGGAGGAGAAAAAATTGTTATCATTATGCTTAAAAAAAAAAAAAAAAGAAAAACCAAGTCAGTAGTTGTAAAACATCATCTAGAATTTATGGGGGCGTTATTTGCTTGTTCTTTTTCTTTAGTTTGACTTCTTGTAAAAAAAGATGTCACCTTTAATGAATATCTGGCCGGCCCTATATTTCATTTTAATACACTTGTGTCTGTGATTGCTTCTAGTATGCCAGTTAAGTGATTTATTTTTTTTTTGCATCGTATTTTGCTGCATGTGATGAATTATACAAGAAGAGGGGAAGACTTAATCTTCTTTCAATCTGTAAACATTGGAAATCTTAGTTTGTAGTATTGCATATTTAATAGATGTTTGTGATTATTATAGCTACTGCAATTTGTGGTAGTGTTCAAAAGTGAAATGGAAGGAAAATATTTTGAACTTCACTTTTACAGAATTATTTCTCTGAAATGCACTTGAAAATAAAAGCTATGTACTGTGCCTTTTGGCATAAACCCACCAACAAGTAAGGAATGAAAAAAAGAGAAGCAGCTAAGATGTGAGGGAAGATATAAACTCCTTAAAAGAAGATAGTAAGTAACCAAACCCACAATTTTATAGCAGTTTATTATTATCAAGTATTGAAACTTTGATTTGTGTTGGGTTTTAGATTTGTAAGATTTTATTAAATATACAGGACTACTGATTGTAGATAAAGTTGTGGAAAACATCGTCTTCAGACCCTTTTTTCCCTTTTCCCAGTGCATTAATGTGTGGAGTACCAGATCATTTCTAGAGGGGTGCCTCTAGAATAATGCCCAGGTTGCAGGTTCCATCCCCATGTGGGCCATTCACTTCAGAGTTGGGCTCCATGATCCTTGTGGGTCCCTTCCAACTCAGAGTATTCTGGGATTCCTTCTGCTTCATGTAGAAGCAGAAATTCTAATGTTTTATAGATAGCTTTTTGCAAAACACCGAGAGGACAGATAATCAAGCATTACACTTTTGTATCCTTCAGTACTTTTCCAGAACATAAAGAATTCCAAGATTCAGAGTCCAGCCGTTCCCCCAGCACTGCCAAGTCCAGCACTAAACCACCTTCCCAAGTGCCACATTCGTGTGACTTTTAAATCCCTCCAGGAGTGGTGACTCCACCCCTTCCCTGGGCAGTCGGTTCCAGTGCCTGACAGCCCTTTCCATGAAGGAGTAATCTCCTAATCTCCAATCTAAACCATCCTTGGTGCAACTTGAGGCCGTTTCCTCAAGACTGGCCCCCACCTGGTTCCACTCTCCTGTCAGGGAGTTGTAGAGAGTGAGAAGGTTCCCCCTGAGCCACCTTTTCTCCAGGCTGAGCTCCCTCAGCCACCCCTCATCCTACTTGTGCTCCAGCCCCTTCCCCAGCTCCATTCCCTTCTCTGGACACGCTCCAGCCCCTCGGTGTCTGTCTTGCAGTGAAATGCCCAAAACTGTGCACAGGATTTGAGGTGCAGCCTCACTGGTGCTGAGTGCGGAGGGTTGGTCACTGCCCTGGTCCTGCTGGATTTAACTTCATTCCCCACCGCTTTTTGGGCTCTGCCCTCCAGCTGGTGTTGTATTCAGTGAAGAACACACTCAGTCCAAGCCTGGAGCAGCCAGTTGCTCCAACTGCTTTTATTCTTCTACAGAATCAATCACCTGGCAGGTTTTAGGAAGGCCCAGGTGTGCTCTTTGTAATGAGTCTGTGGATATCTGTGTGGCTGGCTTTGAGATCCCTTAGGCTTGGGGCAGGTCAGATATGACAGAACAGCTCAAAAGCACGAAAGATCTCAACACACCAGCAGTATAATTAAAAATTGAAGCATTGCTCAGTGTTTGGATGAGCACAGGAATGTACAGAAGCTACAGAGAGCTGCTGAATTTAATAATGCCTGTAGGGTGTCTGTTCAGAAATAAAACTGAACTTACTTCACGATAATATTCCGTAATTTGGATAAATTGAATACCTTTCAAAGAGGTGTTACTGGCAGGGGAACACATGTAATCTTAGCACGTGAAACCTTCCATGTGAAATCAAAAAGAGGAAAAGAAGAAGGTAGTTAATGTAGGCTGGAGTTACTGGGAGGCTTTAGCATAGAATTGAGCTTACCCTTGTTCCCTTGGTATCTGCAAAGAACTGTGTTTCTGTTGAACTGCAGGTTTAAACTTTTTTTAGTTTCTTGTTTTTACGGGGTCAGCCACAGGCTGGGTGCATCAAAGTGGGATGTATTTATTCTGTGCCTTTTCACTCTCTGTACTTTCTCACCTGCAGATGGGTTGTTAGAATAGCTGTTGTAGGGAACACTAACTACTGAGTTTGGTGTTAGATTTCTTGCTTTCCCAAAGGTTTAAAATATGAGGGAGATAATACGTGGAGATTAAACTTAGTGTTGGTAAGCGATGGCAGGCTGCCTGAAAATGTTTGTTGAAAGCAAATTGCACAGTTGTAACCAATTTCACAAAGAAAATCATCAAACCAAGTGTTTGGTTCTTTTAGGTGGCTCCAAACCATTTTGAAAATGTATTCGTGAAAGATCCTCATTAGAGTTCTCAATTGCAGTACGTGTTCTTACAGTTAGTTTTCAAAACATCATTCAAACTCTCTCCTCTATGTATTTAACTTAAAATATCTAATTTCTGCTTTGCTGTGTAGGACTTTGTAGGTTGCCTGTTGACACAACTCACTGGAGGGCCTGTTTTGATTTTGGGATGCCTCCACTGCCCAGTTTTAACTGACAGAAATTTAGGAAATGCCTGGTGCTGTTCACAGGAACTTGAGGAATAATATTTTCCTGTATTTTCTTTCTTTTGGCTCAACACTTATTTCAGTATTCAATACTGAGGAACGTTATCCATTTTAGAACATAACAAAAAGAAATTAATGTATCAGTGTAAACTCTTGCTCTGTCATCCCTGGACCTCTGATTAGGGTGGTCTTTGTGATGTGTGATAATTACTGTTACTGCCTCTTGATTTGGTACTCCAAGTCAGTGTTTGGGGTTATTTCAGATCGGGAACCATTGTTACTGTAAAGAATGAAGTGGTTATTTATCCGAGTCATTTACAGAAGATACAAATCCTGTTTCCCTGAACACAGGAGGCAGCAGGGAACAGTTTTGCTTGTAACTGAGTTTCTCTTCAACGTGAACTTGTCCCCAGAAAATAGTAGGGTGGGGAAGTTTTCTCAGGGTAACAGGTGGGGTGTTTCTGTTACCTCTTTTACCAAGTGTATAGATGCTTGGCTGTGGTCTGTCTACTTGGAGCTTTTAGTTTTTTGATCCAAGATGTGGCTTGATTGTCTTGTTTTCTCTGGAGACCACATTTTTTTTCTCCTTGATGTGTTTTTGTTGTCACAGCCTTGTTTTCCTGCAGTGATCTTATCTTAGGTCTTATTTGTAAGCATACCAGAAGTATTGACCCGATGACTGAAAAATATTTTTATGACTTTGTAGATCTCTGACTGATGTCCAGAAGACATTGTGCATCAGTAAAAGTAGTCTGATGGGTCAATAAAATTTTGTCAAAACCTTTTCAATCTTTACTCAAAAACTCACATTAGAGGCAAGGCTGTAATTCACTTGGGAATGAGATTCTCAGCATTGAGTGATAGGACTTTACTGAGGGACTGGAAGAGTCACTGTTTACACTCTCTGATGCTCATTTGTCATGGAGGTCTGTTGGTGTCTCCACAGTTGTGTTTTTAAGTCTTTGGCCATGCTGGAATTTGGAACTTAGCAGGATTCTCTGGAGTGCTCTTGGTTGAAAAGCTATCACAGGTGCTCTAGCACTGGTTTACTGCTTTAACACAGTGTATTCTCCACTGTGTTGTGGAAATCTGTTCTGGATTTAGACTGGAGAGGAAAAAACCAGAGTGGCCGAGCTATTATTCAGATCAAATATTTCATAATGATGAAGCCCTAATTCTGTAAGCATGTTTGACTTCCTTTTTCCTTCACGACCTACGTGTGAATCTGTGTGAAGGGCATGCTACAGGACTCATGCTTTTAACTATTTAACTCTTCAGAACAACCACTTTCCTAATCTTGGGAGTAGGAGAGAAATACTGGTGCAGTGGGAAGGAGGTTATAGTAGGTGATTTCCAGGGGGCACAGGCTTTGCCATCGTTGAATTGGTACATATTTTGTTTGAGTGCAGTACAGCTGACCTGGGGAGAGTCCCTCCCTCCCATGACAGGGATGCAGGGAGTCCCCAGCTGAGTAACTTTAACACAGCTGTGTCACTGCAGTGACTCAAAAGCTCCATTCTGGGTCATTTCTCCAGGCTGACATGTGATAGAAAAGCACAGCTGCCTTGGGCCTGGGGGCTGAGGTGCTTTAGCCTTTCTCATTTGACAGCAGAAAGCAAATAAAGGTGAGCATGGACAGGATTTCAGGGGTGAAACCGGAGTGGGTGCTCTTCTATTAGCATCTTCCAGTTGTTTATTGGAATACTTTGGATTTCTGGAACTCTCACAAGGCGCTTTTTTTTTTTTTTTTTTTTGGTCAAAAAAGCAGTCCAGCATTAAAAAACTTTGTAACTAAAAGTGTGGGTACACTGCTTTGTATGTGAATATTTTGTATCCATTAGATATTGGAAGGAATTCTTCCCTGTGAGGGTGGTGAGGCCCTGGCACAGGTTACCCAGAGAAACTGTGGCTGCCCCATCCCTGGAAGTGTTTCAAAACCATGTTAGATGGGACTTAGAGCAACCTGGGATAGTGGAAGGTGTCCCTGCCCATGGCATTTATTGGAATTTCTACTCCTTAATAAATGTATACATAAATCATAGATTTTTTTCTTGAGTGTCACTATTATTCCTTTACCATATTTACATTTTCCTCTTCTTTTTTTTTTTTTTTTTTTATAGGCAGTTGCTGGTTACTTTGATATATTTTTTGAGAAGAACTGTCAGAACAAGGTGAGTATTTGGGGTTATGCATTTTAATGAGAGATGAGCATGGTGTGTTTTTTTCCCTGCCTCAAGGTGCTTGGCAGAGAATCTGTTTTGCTGTAGCAAAGACTTCATATGCGTGTGTGTTTGGAAAATGATTGATGTGGTGTGATATCAAAAAGGTTGTTCTTAATCAAACTCTTGAACTCTTCTGTTGCAGGTCTCGTTTTCAACTGGTCCCCAGTGTACCAAAACACACTGGAAACAGACTGTTTTTCTCCTGGAGAAACCAATTCCTGTAGAAGCAGGTATATTTAAATTCAGTGCTGGTGCAGCAATGGTTGTGTTACACTGCTGTTACCATTACATTTACACCTGAAATACTTTAAAAAAAACTACCTTAGTGTTGAAAAGAACTAATAAATAAGTCTTTCAGCTGCTGTTGAAGACATTTTTTTTTGTCTCAGCAAACACTGCTTTCAACAGTCTCTTTTGTGTAACATTGCTAATATTCCAAAGTATCAAATTTGCCAAGTGATTGCACAGTATTTTTTTTTTTAGTACTCCTGAACTGTGCTGTATTTGTTGAATGCATCTTGAATGTATGCATGGCTTGTACCTGCCACTGTGGGGTTCCTCTGTAAACTGAGAACAATTTTAAAGAACTCACAGGCATGAACTTGATCCATTTGAAGTATCGAATGTGTTAGTTTGATACACTGTAAATTTTTATAAGATGGTTAAGTCCTGTAATAAGTTTCACCTGGAATTTGATGCAAGTAGAAAGGTTTTTGTTGTCATAAGGGATAATGTAAAATTCAGGTGATAAATTGTTTTAAAGGTAAGGTTTTGAAGACTGAAATGATGCTTGTTAGTGGTTTTAATTAATTCTATTTGGAAAGTCTTAAATGTACATTTTTATACCACTAGTCAAATATTTCTTGCTTTATAGGCACAAGTATATTCATGACCATCAGAGAATAGCAGGTCAAGAATTAAAAGTCTTGGTCTTGTATTCCTATAGAACTTTCTTGCAGACTCTCCATAGTCTTTTTATGATCAAAGGAAGTGGTTACATTTTTATGCTGTTACTTTATTTTTGTCCACTTAGCAACTAGATATTTACTCACCACTGTTGAACTCTTACCCAGTGGTGGATTAGTCATCTTTGAGGGCCATTTTTCTTTACAGACCAGCAGGACCAATGAAGGAACTCAGACTGGGGCTCATTTCTGCTGGTTGGTTAACAAACTCATGGTAATGCATGGCCCTGACCTGAACAGATGATAAAAAAATCAGACATATTGGGGAGGAAAACGTACAAAAAGTTACGTGGCTGCTGCCATTGACCACTTGAGTTCAAAAAGCTTAGAGGTGCTACAGAGAAGTATTGACACAGATGGAATATTGTCTCTTTTTAACATGCCTGATGATCAATATACAGTGGTGAGAGCAGCATCTGCACTCAGTTGAGCTGCTTTTACAGTTGCCTCTTGGAGCTGTCAGCCATGGCAACTTCTTACCAGGAGCTTCCTTCCTAAAGGCCCTGTGGTCAGTGTTATCTGACAAATCATTTCTGCCTTCCACGCTTCGACTTCCTATTCCTAAATAATTTTCATCCACGGTTTCTTCGGCCCTGGCACTTCTTGGGATGCCACCTGTGCCTCAGTGCATTTGTACCTGGCTTGAGTCCCCTTCAGATTCTCTCTCTAGGCAAGGCAGAGTGAGGTCTCTTTTGCTGCTGCTCATTACATTTCAATGTCACGGAGTGCAAAGTGAATTTTTTTTTTTTTTTAAAGCGCGATGACATTTGTTAAAATATGCATATTGCATAGATCATTTGACATTTACCAAAGGTGTGAAATTACTGGGAGGTGGTGCCTCAAACCCAGATCTCTAGTCTAGGTGCGGTGACTTTCTGAAGACAACTGCAGGAACAGTGTGCTTTGAAGCAGTGAGCACAACCCAGCTGACCTTCAGAATCACTTGTGCCGTAACTCTTTTCCTTTTATTATTATTAGTTCATATTTCTTGAAATTATTCCCGTAAGAAATCTTGTTACAGCTGTGTTTCTCTTTCTTTCTACCTCACCCCTTCTCTGTGTAATTATTTCAGTTCCCCTTTCCCACCCTTTTACCCATTGTCTGGTTTTATATCTTATATAAAATTATCACTTAAATCTGGGATTGTCTACCTATTGCTTCTAGTGTTAGGATTCTGAGAGAGACTCTTGGTGTAACTCCCTTTTCTTTTTTAATCCCAGTTTTAATTTCTGTGGGATATTTGGTACTCACAGATGACACAGACTCATCAGGGTGGAAGGTACTTTCTGATACAGGAGTCTTAATTTTGATGATTTTCTTGGAAAACCATTCCCTCTGACATTGATCCTTCTCCTTGTTCCAAAAATCTCTTTCCCTTTAAGACGTGTTGGAAGTGCAGATTTCCCTATTTTTCTTCTTTATATTTTTTTCCTTGTCAGAACAGTGACTTGAATATTCATCTTGATAATTTGTGGTGAACCATATATTTTATTTCCTCGGTCTTTCCATTTTTTCAGCTGAACAAACTGTTCAAACTTACTTTGCAGTATACTTAATTTATATTTATATTTGCGCTTCCAGCTGTTTCTTATCTGCCACTTGTTAATGAACCAGCAGCACTTGTTACTATTTTTGCTGTGCATTGCATCAGCGTGGCAAGTTGAACTGAGCTCCACTCCAATTTTGGGGAAACTTTCTGTCTTCAAATGGACTTTTCTCAGTGCAAGTTAGTTAACAGAAGACCAAAGTAACTGAATTAGATTAAAAACATTTGCACCATTTGAACATTTCAGCCTTTACATCCAATCCCTCTGCTTACCAGTATTCATCAACCCTCAGTATAAATTCTTATCATCAGAAATACATGTATGGCAATGGGAGAAACAGCAGAGAAGATGCACTTGTGACTAAATGTGTTCATAGAATCATTTAGGTTGGAAAAAGTCCTTTAGGATTGAGTTCAGATGCTAACCCAGCACTTCCAGGACCACCACGTCATTATCTGCCACAGCTGGGTGGCTTGTTCCGATGCTCCACAGCCCTTTCCGTGAAGGAATTATTCCAGATGTCCAGTCTAAACCTCCCTTGGTGCAACTTGAGGCCATTTCTTCTCGTCCTGTGGCTTGTTACCTGCGAGGGGGGACCAACTCCCACCTGGCTACAACCTCCTTTTGGGGAGTTGCAGAGAGTGACAAGGTACCCCCTGAACCTTCTTTGCTCCAGGCTGAGCCCCCCAGCCCCCTCAGCCAATTCTGATCTCCCTTGTGCTCCTTTCCCAGCTCCATTCCCTTCTCTGGACATGCTCCAACCTTTTCATGTATTGAATCCAAATCCAAACAGGATTGGAGGAGTGATTTCATCAGTGAACAGGGGATGGTCACTCCCTTAGTCCTCTGGCCACACTGTTGCTGATCCAAGCCAGAATGACAAGCTCTTTTATTTTTTTTTTTTCAGTAAATAAATAGAAATAATACAATTTGAGTCTTGCAATAATCTGACCAGTGTACCCATGGTGGCATTTGCTTTTAGCATTTTAATAGGTTGTGAAAGGGAATTTGACGGATATAAAATGCATTTTAAAAGTTTTCTTGTTTTGAAAGCATCTTTCAGACAGGGCAGTGGCTGTTTTTCCCCAGTAAAGAAAAATGATTCCCTCAGAGTTTTAATTCCGAGTAAAACAGTAAGGCTGACTAAAAGTCTCTATCAGATGCTTTATAGCTTTTGGGGCTGTGCCTGGAGTGGTTATAAAGCCCTGATTGTATTTGGATTTGCTCTGTAAAAGAAGTTGAGCTTACAGATATCTGAACCTGTTGGGTATTTAACTGGAAAATGCTCTTTTTGCCGTGGCAAAATTGTTTTGTTCTGCAGTGTGAACCAGCTAATTTTCTCAGCTCTTTGATGCCAGGTTATTTGTTGTAAAAATAGATCTATTCTCTCAGCCATAAAAAAAAAAAAGACTGAATGTTTTGAGCCATTCTAATGATGAACAGAATCAAGCAACTGCAAGCCAAAGGATGGGTCTTGCAGCTTTATGTGAGTGGGGGGTATCCACGCTTTGGAAAACTGGTTTTCCTCCTCACAAACTGTGACAAGAGACTTGGAACTGAGGTACAATCAAGTAGAACAAAACAGCATCGGCCTGTTGGGTGTGTTTGAACTGCTTAGCAACCAGTAAAATTAAAGAAACTGGAGAAAGAAGCCATATATTTTATTGCCAGACCAACTGGGTTTTCTCGGACAAACAGTATTGTGTTGTAGATTCCATACAGACTACAAGGCTTCTCTTAGCAGCCCTTTTAATAGCTTGGGCTAAAGAACAGTCTTTATTTGGAAGATTGAAATGAGATGCCGAAGCAGTATCTTTTTTCTTATTAATGGTCCAAAAATGATGTTATTAATGGTCTCCTCCTTTTATTGTTTGTTGAAATATTCCTGCTAAGTAAACAAAACATTGCATCATTCTCATCTGGTTGTCCCAAGAATTTACTAAATAAATAAAATGCTTACAGAAATTATTTTAGAGGGCCCACAGAATCTTTTCAGTGCGTTAAGTGAAAACCCAGATCTGTATGCAGGCAGATTCTATTAGCAGTAAAACAGCATATTGTCAGCGTTTCGTGTTCTTGATATTGCCTTGCAGTGAAAATAAAACCTGGATTTGTTTTTCTGTGGTGCTAAAAGGGGCTAGCACAGCGAAGCTAAGCAGAACTCACATGACTAAGCCCCTGCAAAATCCTTGATTATCTTTAACTCCCCCGTCTCCGTAATTGGAAAGCTGTTTGTAAATTTACAGGCTTGGAAAGCTGATTTGTCTACCTAGATAGCATTATTAAAAGTAGGAAAACAGCACTGGCACGATTAATCTGTCTGAATGTTTTGATCCTATACTGAAATACTTCAGTACTGTGCATCCCAGTTGGATAATTTGGTGCCTAATTAAGATTTTAGTGTCTGTTTTTTCCTGTCTACAGCTGCAACATGGTGTCTATAGAATGCTGTCACTTGTTTATTTATAAGTGGCACCTCCAAAAATGATGCTTGGCTTTTAAAATCTGGTAAATATGAAAACTTGCATTTTGAGGTCACACTAAATCTGGCATGTCATACGCTGCATTTTTTAAAACCAACAGCTTAAAATTATCCTGCTGACTTCTCCAAAACATTTCTAAGTGTGTGTTTCGGGCACTAAATTGAATCTCTTCCCATGGCTGTTCTATCTCACTGAAAAGATAATAGATATTCTGTATCTAGACAGGGAAGCTTGGATAGGCTTCTGGTGCTGTTTTGTGTGCATCCCTCTGCAAGGTCTGCTGCTGCAAGGAACGTGACAATTTGTTACAAAACTCTTCTGAGAATATACTCAAAGGATGAACTGGAAAAGCAGAACCTCAGCGTAGTTTCAGAAGAGGGTGAACAGTGATATGTAACAGAAGGGAGCTGGCAAACAGCTGCCCAGTTTATGGAAGTGGCCAACCAGGAAAAAGGGTATCACAGATCAGATGGGTAACACCAAAATGCTGCTCAGAACAGAAACTGCTCGTTGGATCACACTGGGCTGGAGATTCAGGAGAAGCGGCCAAAATGGGAAGCTGACACTCTTGTGCAGAGCTGCCTGCAGTTTAAGAAGGTGAATTGGGAAGATTAAGGATAAGTTACTGAGTTTAAGGGAAGTGCTCTTGGTCCCCCCACAAACTATTTCAGTTTTTCCTTTTCATGAGATAGATGGGATATGGAAACCACTTTCTAACCATTTCTTTGTGAGCAATGCTTTTGAGACCTGCTGTTTTTTCTGCTGTGTGCTAGACCTCAGTGTGGGTCCAGTTAATCTAAACTAGAGTGGAAAACTTAATCATGTTTTAATTGTCAGCCTCCAACAGGGACAACCTTATTGTGAAGAGTGGTGTCATGTCTTCCTGTTTGGTGGCTGTGAAGGAACGTGTGACTACCACTAAGTGGTTCTTTACAGTGTAGGGGCTTTGTAAAGATACTTTTCACCAGCAGTTCAGTAGTTAGGGTGTTTTTAGCCTAACTGCAGTTTTCTAGCAGCTCTCTTTGAAACAGTTCCAGTGAGCTCTTTCTGTGTTCGAAGAGGGAAGAGACACCAAGTTGTACTGAAAGGCAGAGCAGTTCCTCACGTTGCAAGCTCATTGCCATGGGTCATTTCATGCTGTGAGTAGATGTTATGGATGTGTACACAGGGGAGACCGTGTGGAATCTTTGAGTTTGATCAAATCCTTTCTACACTGAAAAAAAAACACATCATTTGCTGGGCCTGAGCACTCTCAGTGATGGGGCTTTCGCACTGAGAAGTGCCTGGTGGGCTCACAGACTGCAGGCCTGCCCTGGGTGTGATTGTATTGCACAAACACAAGTGACAGGTGCCATTGCTTACAGTTCTGCTGATGGTAATAACCTGATCTGAGTTTGAGCACATGTCCAGGGTGTTCTCTAGAGCCCATAATCAAATGTGGGTTCTTTTTGACAGTGAGTCAGTATGGACACAGGGGTGTGTTTTCTCCTGTGCTAGCGAGCTGATGCAGCACTTCTGCTGAATTCTTCTGCTTTTTCTGTTTGGGGACAAATTTCAGGCCTCCCCAAGGGATAATAAAAATGCAGGAGGCGGGGGGGGGGAATTGTAATGGATTCAGTTTTGTCCTAATCAAACTGCAGTGGCACTGTGTGGTTTTACTTGCATCCAACTGAGCGTGATAAGAGCAAGGTGATGCAGCTGAGTCCCAGTCCCAGCTTCCTCCAGGCAGCTCCTAGGACAGCAGAGTGGGGGGAGAAACATCCGTCATTTTCTATCTACATGACATTGATTAATTGGTCAGAACTGGCTCTCTGTTACTGGGTTGCACTGCTGTTGTTTGCCTTCAGCCCTCGGAGAAGGCTTGTTCAGAAAGGCAGGTTTAAATGTGGTTACCACGCGAGGAAAACTGAACGGGATGCTTTGTTTTCATTAACTGCCCCTGCAAACGGAATCTGAGGGTGCTGTTCTGTGAAGCCAGCTATAATTTATGGAGTTATATTTAAATTTTTGCTTGGATTATAGTATTTTGTGTTTTTAATTGGAAGATTGAAAGTATGGATTAATTTCTATCATGGAATTTTGGGTCCCAGAGGCTCTTTAAGCCTTACTGAATTGTTATCACAGGATATTAAAATAAATCAAGTAAATCATTTTGTAGCAGTTTTGAAAATCTATATGTTCAAACTGGGTTAAAATTCCTACCTGAAATGAAGCTATAATGCCCTTTGATTTTTTATCCTTGTCCTTCTGTCTGGCAAATCTCTGTTTAAATAATCTGTGAAACTATTTTCACAGTTCTTTGCAGATTACACCGTGTTATGTCAGTCCTTTGACTCCTAATAACAAAACTGCACAGGAATTATAGTGGAATCTCCAACTAACATTTAAATGATTTAAAAATAATTATCAAAGAATGTGGGTTTTTTCTGTATTTTGGTACCACAGTCATTCTTGTTGATGAGCTTTCTTTGATATTTATACTGCAGCCTTTGACAAAATATCCTCAATTTATAATGTGCACCTTCTGTCAGTTCACTGTTTGGGGATGTGACTGAGAATTGAGCCTAAATGGAGAACTCTCAAATCCTTCCCAGATTTGAAACCAGCTTAGTTTTGAAATTGCTGTTTGTTTTCATTTTTTTTGCAATAAGCTTTTTAGCAGAACATTAACACTGGCTTTTAACATCCCAGGAGGTAGTGAACAGCTGGGAAATACTTTGGATCCAGTGAGATAGAAAAGTAGTAACAGTAGGTGTGGCTGGTGTGAGGGATGAAAAGGAATGGGGCAAAGGAAGCCTGATGGAAGAATAACACAGAACCGCTGCTGTAGAGTGGGATCGTGCCCTCCTGTAGTGTTTTTGGTGCATTCATCTGTTTGGATGTAGTTCTTGTGGGTTTAAAACGATGGTTTGAAGAGGCTCAGTAGGGGGCTTCCTAAATGTACAAATTTACAAATGTGTGTGTTTGTGTTTTGTTACGCTGTATATTGCTAAATTTGCAAATATACCTTAAATTGATGGTGTGTATGTATATATATATATAGAGAGAGAGAGTTATATATATAAATTGAAGGTATGTGTGTATATATATATATATATATATATATAAATAAGGACTGAAAATAAATTCAGATTATTTACTTTTCCTTCTGTGTGAAAGCATTTGCTCCGGGTGTAACTGAAGGACATACCTATCAGGTGTTATGGTCAAGAGAGCCTGACACTCTGTAAAACAAAACTTGCAATTAATAATGTCTGTACTTGAAATGCCATGAAGGTTTCTGTTAGTATTTCCTGCCAGACAAAAACATCACCCAGTTAGAGCTTAAGTGAGATGCAGCACAAATGCAAACCACAAGGCGTATACAGCAGGAATGGGGTTTTGTGGTTACGTGGTTTCCCTCCAGGTTGGTTGATATGGTTTTCCCCAATCACAAGGGCAATATTTGGCATATCAGCTCGTTGGGTGGGCCACCTGAGAAGTGAGGCATCCAGCAGAAGTCAGCACCTCACCAGGCTTTCACTGCAGTTTGTTGTCAAGGCCGTTGCTTAGGGCTTTGAAAACTTTAGGGAAACCTTTGCAGCCTTTTTAATCCTGATTAATTTGGAGCACCTTCTCGTGCAACGTGTGCGTCTTTGGTGTTACTGTGTGTGAATTCAGTGCAGTAACCACAATAATTTCCTTTTTGCTGTTGCAGGGGAGGCCCTGAGAGGGAAGATCACAGTCCGCAAAAACAGAAAGGATCCCCGGTCCCTCTTCATAACCCTTTCAGTGAAGGACACGCAGCAGACCTACAGCCTCCAGTGAACACCCTGGGCACGTAACTCTGGGAGGTGTTAAAGTCAAATAACTGTTTTTAAATGGCAAGCTCTTGGATTTGTGTGTGTGTGTGTGTGCATGCACACGCACAGGGATGTGAAAAACTCGCCTGGACTTCAGAGAGCACTGTTTGGATGCTTTTTCCTGATTCTGCTGCTTCACTTCTGCGAGGAAGGCAAAGAAAGATGGGTTTGGGTTACGCGAGACTGCTGGGTGAGAAAAATGAGTGTGAAGTCTTGCTGTGAGGAACAATAAATATGATCTCTCAATATTGTCTTATTCTTCCGCTGGTAAAATCCTTGCATGGTATTTTTTTTTATGAAAGAAGAAGCTAAATCATGTGCCAGTGCACCTCAGCAGTATCAGGAAAATCCTAATGGGACTAATTTTGGAATTCCAGCTGCAGGATTGCAGCACCAAAGACCGTATTTTTATTACACTTCTGGAATTAAAAAGTTGTACGCAGTTACATTTATCTAAATAAATGAACCCAGTATGATATCGAATGCAGTTGCCGGTTTTCTGTGTAATTGGAAATTCTCCTGTTTATCCAGTGATGGCTCATTTAGTTGTGCCTACAGGTTTTTTTCTGTACTAGCCTATTGGGGCATAGGTGGATGGAAGTGCGTGTTTTAGCAGCTTTAGGAAAAATACTGCAAGTAAAAAGCAGTTGCTGAAAGGGTGGATTTGGTTTGGCTTCTTAGAGAAACACTCTGGACAGCCAAGGGTTGACTGTTCAAGGGAGGAGGGGTTTCATGAAGATGTTCATTCCTGTGTGAAAACTGCTTTCATTTTGGGTGGTCTTGTTCAACTTGAACATCTTTATACTTCTGCAGATTTTATGTTTGTATAAGTGTTGCCACAGTAGGCAAGAAAGGAAGAAAATTGCAAAGGGAGAGCAGTGCAAAGCCCTGGAGAGATTTTATGTAGCCCTCAGCAGCAGGGCTGAAACTGGAAAAAAAGAAGGTTGAAAAATGCGTGCAAGAAAAAAGTAAGTGCTGTTGTAAAATAAATAAATAAGAACTAAAATAACGAGCTGTGTAAAGAACAAAGGATTTGCCATCATTTAACCAGAAGGAAAATGTCCTGAAAAGACTAATTAATGTAAAGCCTGAGGGAGGGTCGTTTGATGAAGGCTTTGGAATTTCAAAGCAATTTAAATATACAAGTGGACATTGATCTAATAGCCAGTGTCTCACAGCATCCTGTGGAAGCAACCCATCAATTTTAGGTGGCTTTTTTTCAACCTAGCAGTTGAATAATATGGGATTCACCTGACAGCACAATCAGTGATTTACATTTCCTGATTGTAACTCTTTAAGAATTAAATGTCATAGGAAATGTGATCAATAAATACTCTCTTAAAGGGATTCTAACGATTGAGGGAGAAAAGTGGAAAGTAAATGCTTAAGAGTAGAAATGCCCTTGAACTTGTCCAGTGAGAGATAGTAACGCTTCATTCAAAATGTGATCCTTTATTCTGAGGCACGTGGGCAGTGTGGCCAAAGATGCAAATGACCTGCAACTGAATTAAAAATAAACAAATAAACCGGTGTGACAGTGGCTGGACAGGTCAGTTGTACGTTCTGCACAGTTCATGGAAACATTTCTTTCTCCAGGTGATGGTAACAACTCATCTTCCAGCTGCCTCTGCTGCAGGCACATTCCAGGTCGTGGCATCGGGTACTTCCTCTGCAGACCTGTTTGAGAAGTGGCTACAACTCACTGCTGTGGAAAATCATCCTTACCTTGGGTATTCTCTTCCCAGGGAGGGGGGTGAAGACACTGATGCAGATTTATCCACATTGGATGTTTTTGTGGTCTCTGTGTGGCAGTGCTGGCTGTGTGGAGATGCACAGGCAGAGCTGTGCTTCATCACACACATTTCCAGCCCTTCTGCTCATCTTTGCAACTTCTCTTTTTCTCTGTCCTGGAGTTACAAACCCCTAACCCACCTGCCAAATCCTCTTTAAATTCCCTTTGTGATACGATGATAAAGCCCAGTTGTAGTTGTAGAAAATCTGTTTGTCAGTCATTGGTGTATAGGTTTTTTAAAATACTTTGTAGCGACTGGGATAGTCACAATTTCAGACCTAAATTTATTACTTCAAGTGTGTGCTCCTGTATTCAAAAAAGAAACAAGAAAGTAAATTGTAGAAAACCTGAATTTCACTTGTCATCTGACAGCATTTGTCTGTTAGACCAGCTCATATAAATTGAGCTGCTCATCTCACAGGATTTATTTTTTTAGCAGCAACACCTTATGTGACAAAGTCTTTATTTTTCCCTTTTCCTGGCTAAAAAATAGCAAAATGATATATTTTTTGGGTTAGATCTCCCTAAGTTTGCAATTCAAATGTGGCAGTTCTTTATCTGCCTCTCTTAGAGGTCTCTTTTCTCCTGTTTCTTCCCTCTCCTTCTGTGTGGTGGGTTGACCCTGGCTGCATGCCAGGTACCCACCAAAACTGCCCTCTCCCAAAAGACTGAATTATCTTTAATATCCCATAATTATTTCTACACTTTATTGAATGGGAAATCATTTAGAAAAAAAAGCTGGTTTGGCTAAGAATAGTTTGGTGTTTGTTTGTTTGTTTGTTTTAATTGGGAAGGTCTGTTTCTTGCAATGCTTAATAATGAAGTCCAGCAGTTCTGAAGAACGTTGAACGGACAGAAGTTTTTAATGTTTAATCCAACAGTTAACCTTTTTCTCAAGGAGTATTCTTAACTAGCAGTTATCAATCTCTATTCCTTCTTAAGTAATTTACGTTATACTTAGCCCAAGGTCAGATGTGTTAAAATTGGCTAGTGATTCATTTAAGTTCTGTTAATATTCAGATAAAAACTGAAGGTTGGCCTGTCTTCTCCTTGCAAATCTGTGCCCAGAGTCTGGATACTTGAAGATTAATAACCCACCTGAAAAGAGTATGGATGTGCCCACAGCTCCACTTCTTATTTAGATGTTAATGACATGTTGTTTGGTTGTGATTGATTTTTTTTTTTTAAATCTTGTCTTCTGCAGTGCTTTTAAATGTTTAGCTAAGCTGTAAAACTATCTCCCTGCTCCCACCCATCAGAGAGCAGCTAAGCAAGACAGACAAACTTGGAAGCTTCTGGTCCTTTGCTGCTGAATGTCCCTTCAGTGGGCATCATGCTGGGGTCTCTTAATAGGATTTTTGTGTGTACACCTCAGTCTGACCTCCTAAATTCTGTCCTGTGGGGTGTGCTGTAATGAGACAGATCCAGATAAAAGCAAAACCTCAATTTCAATAAAGCTCTACAGAGGATTCAGAAAGCTGGTTTGGGAGATAGAGTTGCTAACTTGAAAAGGTAAGCTGCTAGCGAGGTTTTAAGACTTTTATTTCAAGGATGTTCCTCTGCTCTCTTGTTTAATAGTGCCTGAAGTTCCCTGTAGTAATGACTCTGAGCATTTTCTGTGCCTGGTTTCAATTATTTGAAGGAAAAAAATTGCAGCAGCGTGTCTTCACCGAGGTTAGTGGAATGACACAGCCTGGCTCTGACTGTCTGGCTGGAAGAGGAGGGAGGGGGAGTTGGAAGATGAAGAGCTGAAAGTAAAGGCTTGTACGAAGACTAAAGTGACGATGATCTTATTTTTAGAGGACAGGTTTAGAGGTGCGATCTGCTACCGCTTTTACAGCGTGGATTGACTGCGTAACAACGGCACTTAAGGGTTTTCAGAGACAACCAAAAATAAAGTCGTGGGCGTGTCTCTGAATATACAAACTTACAAAGAAATGAGGTTTTATGTTATCCTGTTTATCCAGGCGTTTGGCAGATAATAATGCTGGTGAAGTAGTGACATCTCATTAAAAGACAGATACCACCTTACATGAAAAGGCACTGCAGACAAATTTGCAGAAGGGCTTACGTGATTAAATAGGTGTAGAAAACCATCCAGTTTGAATTACTTTTATACAGGTGGACTGGAACCTGAAGATGGTTCAGTTTTCCAGGTTTAGTAAAAGTTTAAACACCTACTGCTTGGTATACTTTTTTTATCTTCTATGAAATTCATAGGTAGATAATTAACTTCACAGGGAAAAGCAGCATTTTTAATGGTATTGTTGAGCAGCAAAGACAGAAGGGTCAAGGAGAAGCCTCGCTGCTGGTGAGGTGCTATGCACGTAGAAATTAAGTTTTGTTAATAGAATATTTAAAAAGGTCGTGCTTTTCCAGCTCATGGGTCTGTAAGTAACTGCCTGTTCCCTGATGTGTACCAACTGGCTCTGAATCTTTATCTACTTTGCTAATTCTCGTATATCAAAATAGAAACAAACTTCGTTTCTATGCCTTTCTGAATGGCAAGAGGGTTACTCAGTTCTGGGAGTTACTGATGCCTCCAGGTTCCAGCACTCTGAACTCCTTGGTGATAAATGAAAAAGGCTCATCCCACAGAAAAACTGTACCATGAAACAATCAACTTACAGATTTGTAACATTTCTATTGCTGTTCCTGTAACAATTAGCCAAAGCAAAATAAAAGACTCTTAATGACAGTGATAACAAATTAAAGAGGAATAAAGCTTACTCAACATGTTAATTCTATTTTCCACTTGGGTACTACTCAAAACATCAGTGTAAGCAGAGTGAGAGCAAATATGTCCCATGGAAAGCAAACTAACCAGAGTTGGGCTTTCACAAGTGAGAGCTACAACCCCAATAAAATTACTCTCCTTGGATTCAATTGGCAGATGCTAAAACAATCCTGCTTTAGAGGGTGGTCTGAGAGGTTTTTCAAATTATTTTGTTTTCTTCCATGGAGAGCCAGGTGAAGCTGGGAATGTGCATGACCACTCTGCCATCTTGATACGTGTCATGGCCTACACAAAATAAGGAATGGATTTTTTTCCAGAGAGAGTTGCATTAACTGAGAGAGTTCACCAGAGTAATGTGCAGTGAGGAGCAAGGCTGTGGGTGATTCAAGTACCCACATTTGGGAAGTTACCATTGGTAAATCCCATCTCATGGACATAAGGCCATGCTACCAGAGTATGATCTGTGCCACTCATGCTCCTCTTGGTATTACTACCCCTGGCTTCACTTTTGTTCCACTTGATAGTCATAGTATGTATTATATATATAATTAATGACCTAGATTTAAAAAAAAATATAAAAAATCTAAAAATTGACACAGTTGATCCAGTATTATCCATTTGCTTAGCTCTTTAGTACCATCACACTCTAGTAACTGCTGTTTGCAGTAGTTTTCATTATAAAGTTAATCTTGCTAAGAATTAACAGCTTTTGCTTGTGTTTCCCTGAGCGTTGCAGATTGCCTGGATGAAAGAAGGAGTTCTAGGGGTGGCAGGAGAGGAAGGTGAGCTGGTGGGAGGCACCCCAGAAGACTACAGGTCCTGGGTGGCACATACCACGAAGAGCTCCCTTGAAGGAGTGTTGATCCACTTTGGGTAATGATGGTTTAGGTAATTAAGCCTGAAATACAAGTAAGATTCAGTAAGTAGAATTGAATTTTGATTTAACCTTCTGAT